TGAAATAGTATTTTCTTGTAAAACTTACTCATCCAATTTGTTTGTTTTTACATCTTCGAAAAATAATTTTGAACTAGAAGAAGAAAACTGTAGTTTTAGTCTTTTAGTCCATCCCTGCTGCACAGAAAAAAGCAGCTAATTTTGTTGCACTTTTATGTATCTTGGTAAATACATGTGGAAAAAATACCATTAAAGCAAACATTTGGAATGCATGTCTATCCTGCAAAGTTGGCCTTTTCACATCTACTCTGACTAAGGTCCAGAGAGGACTGTCTTTTAGGTCATAGACCTTAGTCAAGCTAGACACTGTATTGAATTTAATGTGGATGAAAACAAATAGACTAACAGTCTTTACAGTGGAATGCACTGTATTAATGTCCTAGATCTTGTTATTTCCTCAACTCAAATGTTTCTAAATTGTTTTATGAAATTTTTGTCCAATAATTTTTTTTCAGAAAGACATTTAGTCAGCTGAACAACCAATATGTTGTTAAAGAACAACACAATCTGTTGAACAGACTCTACTTATCTCTTGTTTTCATTCCTGTCACAAAGGAAATATGGCACTACTCTGACTAAGGTCTAAATTTCAAATTTGGTCCTTAACACAGCAAAATATACATGTATGAAATCAGACTTCATATCAAGTTCATATATGCTGTCTTTTCTTGGATTTAATGAAAAGTTTATAATATTACTGTATTTAAGTACTATAAGTAGGCCTACTACAAAACTATAGGCTACTAAAATAATAAAGGAAGCATACACTGTGTATCCCCAGTGGAAAAAAAAAGGTAACTATTTTTTTCTCCAATTTTATTTATCAGAATATGGTCATTTTGCTGTACATTTCTGATAAAACACACAGAACATAATTTAAGCATATGACATAACTGGTTGACCTTTTGCATAATTTTAATTAGAAATGTATTTTAAAATAATTTGATATTGCACAATGATTACCTCTCCATATTTGGAGAGGATTAAATCATTCATCATTCATTTTTGAAATACACATCCAATTCCTACACACAAAATAACAACCAATAAGCATATATATACATGCTTAAAAGAACGCTCAGAGGCAACAATACTGTCTGTGCCACTGATTGGGTGAATCACAGCATCAGTGTCAGGAAGAAGAGCAGAGGTAGGACTTGGTGCCTTCAAAACAGGGAGCCCCAATTCTCTTTGCTCCCTCAGAACATTGGTCAGAAATAAAAGAGCTCGCTTGGGAAATGCAGGTGGGGAGAAAAGATTATGTTCGCGGACGAAGAAGTGGGGTAGTGAACCATTCAGTGCACATCGCTCAAAGTATCCAAAGAGCTTCATAAAGGAGACGGACAGCTGGCCTGGAGACCAAAACGAATCTTGCACTCTGTCTGAAAGGACATGGAAGAAGGTTGTTTTCCCATGGTAGGAACACAGAGGCTCAAGCTCTTTGGGATACTGCTGCTTCAGTCCCTCAATCAGACACTTCAGAAGCCGCAAACAAAGTTTCCTATAAGAAAGAAGAGAAAATCTTAGGGGCATCATAACATTAATCTATAACATAACCAGCTATAAAAATGAGTGTTCATTCATACCGACAACACTTATTGGAATGACTCTCACAGCACGTCTTCTTATTGCCATGATGCTGCATCATCTCTTTTTCAATGTGAGAGAAGGATATTCGCCAGCCCTCTGAAAACGAATACCTCAAATATATAAATGCTTTATGCTAAGGAAAGAAAGAAATGTTTTTGTAATGACTGAATATGTATTGTGCCAGCATACCTTTGGCATCATCTTTGAGGTTTCTTCCTTTTGGTCTCTTTGGGACGAAATACACAGCCTTACTTACAAACTGGCGACGACATTTTTTTCCAAGCCATTTGTCTATATTAAGACCTGCCCGTGCTGCTTGTGGCCAACCTTGTGGCACCTCAAGAGTAGGTACGATGTCCACAGACATCACATCATCGTCTTTCTCTTTCACCTTAAATTCAAGGGTCACCGCCGGTGAATTTACTAGATTTCTGCGTATCACCCAACCTTCACCTGTGAACGGGTGGCAGAACCACAAACAATCTTAAGGTTATACACTACCTTTCTAAAGTTTGGGGTCAAAATGTTTTATATTTTTTCATGAGCAGCAAATCAGCATATTAGAATGATTTCTGAGGGATCATGTGACAATAAAGACTGGAGAAATGGCTGCTGAAAATTCATTCAATTCTTTTTACTTTATTTTTGTATCAAATATATGCATCAAATAGACTTTTCAAAATCATAAAGAATTTTGGAATTGTAGTGTATAAAAAGCTATCCGAACATGACGGAGTGTTGAGAGACAGATCAGTAAAACGCACCTTGAAAATGGTTGCTAATGAATTTGCGGACCAAGCGGTACATTTCTGCTTTGATTTTGGTTGCTGAGACGGTTCGTTCATCTTCCAGAAGAAAGTGCTGGATTTCAGTTCGTGTGGCTTTGATTAGCTTTATCTTATAAAACAGTCCTTGATATTCTTCCAGTTCTGACAGTACAAGCCTTGGGACTTTCAGTTTCAGCATAATGTCAAACTCATTGGGTTTGTTGATCTGTTGGTGATAAAATTATAGTTTGTCATTCCATTATTCCAAACATTCATGATTAATTTTAGCCAGTCTTTGCTCTTCAAGATGTGGAGGATTATTGCTATCGTTCAGAAGTTTGAGGTTGGTAAGATTTTTTAAATGATTTTGAAAGAAGTCTTCAGTGTCACATGATCCTTCAGAATCAGTGTAATATGCTGATTTACTGCTCAAGAAACTTTTCATTGTTGAAAACAGTTGTGCTGTTGTTGTTTTTTGTGAAAAACCATGATAGATTTTTTTCAAGGTTCTTTGAAGGATTAAAAAGTTCAACAGAACAGTGTTTATTTGAAATAGCTGAACATTCTAAAATAATTTGAACACTGAATAATTTGTAACATAATTGACTTTACTGTCACTTCTGCTCAATTTAGTGTATATTAAATATCTGATACAAACTTGAGCAACTCTTTCGATTTGACACTAGCTGATTTTTCTCAAAATGATCATTCAAATTTTTTACCTTCACCATCTCATAATAGCTCCCACTGGTGAGAACTGAGACCTCCCTGAAGAAGGGCTGATCATCATTATTCTTCAGGAATTCCAGCAAGCTGTCGATTAGATGGTTTACTATCTTCACAGCATTCTGCTGGTCAAGCTTACGCAGCCGTAGGTCTCGACCTCTCTGTCTGATCAAGCGGTCCAACTCGGGCGAAATGGAAGAATCATCTCCAACTTTATGATAACAGAACAAGTATAAGCAAATATACATAGATACAAACAATAACTCAAAAGAGCAACCTAGTAAAGATCCTCCACATTACATGATCTCCTCTGGCTTTCCATAATAGAGCTGTGAAAAACCCAAGGTCAGATATACAGTGCTCTTCAGATCCTCTGTCGTGATGCTCAATCCAGCCTAAAATTTGAATGCAGTATAAATGCAAATGAATTATGTATGGAAATGTGCTAGGGTTTCTCCATGGATAAAACAATAAGAATAGGTAAAAATCATAAACACAGAGAGTAATTGACTAGCAACTGCTGACATATTTGTTTTACAGACAATTGTGCAACGCCTGAGAGCTTTACACCCTGTTTTATGGCTTTCATACATTTTAAAGAGTATAAACGTAAATGGAACGCCAAAGCTTAAAAAGGGAATAGAAAATAAAAGAAATTCTAAACTGATAAAAACATCAGGGATGTTTTGATGTATTCATATGTGTATTTTGCAACAAAAACAGAAAAATGGTACAGCATTTACTAAACCTTAAAGGACAGTTAAAGCTTGGTTACGTTGTGACACCAAATTTAATCTACTCTACACCTATTTACATTTTCACAAGCATACTATTTAATGATACGCATGAATCCAGACTTACCCACTTCCTGGTCTAGAGAATAAGATCTAGTGACACAGAAATACAGCACAAGAGTATATTGATTCTAAGCTCCTCCCTGCCACATCAGATGATCTTTTGCTTTACAGTAAAAGGTTCAGGGTGTGGCTTTGTTCTGGTGATGTAAAACCGAAACTTAAGGAACACGTCTTTGATGTTTACATGCTAGATTCTGTGACAGCAGGTGTCACTCAGGTGGCGTGTGTACAGATGTACTTTATCAGCTGAAAGCAATGTCCAAATGTACAAAGGCCTTTGTAATGTGCTGACCGAAGTGTATATGGTTGACCCTTAGTAGTTTTCTATGTATTTTATATTTCTATGTTCTATGTATTATATATTTCTATGTATTTCTAAGTATTTTTCTATGGATGGCACACAATTTAAATACATTTGTATTGTATTGTTTCATGCAAATTTCTTTTGTCTAATGAAATGGCGATTGTTTTTTTTTGTGATACAACAGACTGTTAAATTAAAACAGCTGACTGAATTTTACTAACCAATAGTATGAATAAATGTTTTTTTTACAATATAAACAATATGAGATTGAACACTATGATAGAACACTATCTTTTAGCCTAAAAGTGCAGTATGTGTACATAGCAATGCTATTTTTGTATTATTTGTATACAGTACTATTATAGTATTTAACATTTTGAATTAGCTTTTATTTTTTCAGTATTCATTTTAATTATTTTGCTTTCATTTTTGTTTCAGTTCTAATAAAAAAAAAAATTAGTAGTTCAGCTTAAACTTATTTTAAGTTAATAAGTTAATTGCCAAGGATTTATTTTTTAAGTTTTAAATCAAAAATTTGTATTTTATTTTCTTTCAGCTTTATTTCTATTAGTGTTTGTTTTAGTTAACTGTAATAACACTGAAAGATTCACGATTCAAATGTAAAAAAAAAAGAATAAAAAAAAAAGGATCTTAATTATATTTATCATGTTCAAAAGAATTTATTTATGAATGCACTTACAACAAAACCCATTCATAATGCTTTGACCTCTGACAATAAAGAATAATGGCACAAACTGATGAATAATCATTGTTTATTTTTATAATCGTTTTCTCCTAAGGTGTTCAGAAATACATGGTTTCCTCCTTTCCTTCTGAAGCTTTTACGGTGGGTTTTTATCAGCATAAGCCAGTCCTTTAAAACCGTGCTCAGGTTCTGAGACATTGCAGTGTAGGATATCAATGAGGCTTGCTGGGTGTCTGACGGGACGATTCATTTAGCTTTGGCAGCCTTCTGAGCAGACTTGGTCACCTTTCCACTAGTGGAGGCTTTCTTGTCAACGGCCTTGATGACACCAACAGCGACGGTCTGCCTCATGTCACGCACAGCAAAACGACCTGGAAAGTAGTAGTGGGATAGTAAGGAGTTCCAATTAAAGCAGAACGTTTGATTAATGTCCAATATATAATGTTCATGGCAACATAAATGATGACACTTACCCAGTGGTGGGTACTGAGAGAAGCTCTCCACACACATGGGTTTGCCAGGGACCATAAGAATAATGGCAGCATCTCCAGATTTGAGAGCCTTGGGGTTATCCTCAAGCTTCTTGCCAGAACGACGGTCGATCTTCTCCTTGAGCTCAGAAAACTTGCAGGCAATGTGAGCAGTGTGGCAGTCCAGCACTGGGGCATAGCCCTGAGAGATCTGACCAGGGTGGTTCAGGATGATGACCTGCGAGAAAGAGGGGTACATGATAAAGCACCTGACATTATGAAGATCATGCAGATAATATTCTATTTATATCTAACCTGAGCTGTGAAGCTGCCAGCCTCCTGAGGGGGGTCGTTCTTGCTGTCTCCAGCCACGTTACCACGGCGGATGTCCTTGACAGACACATTCTTAACGTTGAAGCCAACGTTGTCACCAGGGAGAGCCTCGACAAGAGACTCGTGGTGCATCTCAACGGACTTGACCTCAGTGGTCAAGTTGGCAGGGGCAAAGGTCACAACCATACCAGCCTTCAGAGTTCCAGTCTCAACACGTCCAACAGGCACAGTTCCAATACCTGAGGGAAACACACAGAAAATGTTTGAATGAGTGACAGACGCTGGTTTCTCATTCGAGAAAACTGTGAATGAGTTTGGAGGCTGTGTTGTTATTGTTAATGAAAACTAAAACTAAAAGCAAACACCTTCGTTCAGTGAAATTAAAATAAACACTAACATAACTGGGAAACACTGAGACTAAATTTATATTTATTACTTCAAAACTAACTAGTCTGCAAAATCATTTAAGGTTTTTTTTTTTTTTTTTCACGGTATACTATAAAATTTGAAACCTTTGCAAACTGTCTGCATTAAACATGAAAATGCTGTTTGTAATTTACTGGATAAGGATTAAACATGAGGATTAAAAAAAAAAGTTCAAATATGCCCATGGAGTTTTAAGATTTTATTAATTTACATGACTTTCCCAGATCTAGAAATCCCTTCCTCATATTTACAGGTATCTAAAATTTCTCAAAGAAAAAACTGTTGTTGAGGGACCAAATGAAGAAAGAAATATCTTGATTTTTGATTAGTGTAGCTTATGAAGCTTTTTAATGCTTGTTTTGTCTTATTTTAAAGTCTCTTTAAACTAAGATGCCTCTTGGAAGTTTTCTTTGGACCCATTTGAGAATCGCTGCAATAACACTAGACTGTACTAAGAAAATGAAAGCATTTTTGAATTATACCAGTTGGTGCATTAACTATGGCAGCCCTAAAATACTAAAACTGATGTAATAACAAAAAGCAAAACTAGAAAACAAACTAAAACGAGAAAACTACAAATTCAACACCAAAGTATAACACTTAAATATATTTAAAAGTATAACACTACAAATAAAAACACTTAAATATATAAAAAAATTAAATTCAAATCTATAATAACCCTGGTTGGTGGTTAATGCTTACCTCCAATCTTATACACATCCTGCAGAGGCAAACGGAGGGGCTTGTCGGTGGGCCGACTGGGTGGCAGGATGGAGTCCAGGGCCTCGAGAAGAGTAACACCGCTGGCAGCACCTTCCTTCCTCTCAATCTTCCATCCCTTGAACCAGCTCATCTATTATCCATAAAGAAAATAACCAAAAAGCATGAACAATCGCAGTGATCACAAACCCTAACGAAACCCTTCCAACCCAGATGCTCACGTTTGTGCTGGGCTCCAGCATGTTGTCACCATGCCATCCAGAAATTGGGACGAAGGCAACAGTGGCGGGGTTGTAGCCGATCTTCTTGATGTAGGCGCTGACTTCCTTGGTGATTTCCTCATAACGCTTCTGGCTGTAGGGGGGCTCGGTGGAGTCCATCTTGTTGACTCCAACAATAAGCTGTTTGACTCCCAGGGTGTAGGCAAGCAGGGCGTGTTCACGGGTCTGTCCGTTCTTGGAGATACCAGCCTCGAACTCACCAACACCGGCAGCGACAATCAACACGGCACAGTCAGCCTGGAAGGAAGAATGAATAAAATCACAACATTTAAACAATAATAATAATGCAACAATAAAACCATTACACACAGACACCGTAATCTGTGATAGATTTGTTGACATTAAAAAAACCTACCTGAGAAGTACCAGTGATCATGTTCTTGATGAAATCTCTGTGTCCAGGGGCATCAATGATGGTGACATAGTACTTGCTGGTCTCAAATTTCCAGAGAGAAATATCAATGGTGATACCACGCTCACGCTCGGCCTTCAGTTTGTCCAGCACCCAGGCATACTTGAAGGAGCCCTTGCCCATCTTGATGCAGAAAGAATATTCAGAAGCATATTTGAGATGTTTGTGAGACCGAATGGACAAAAGAATAATATAAATAAAAGATAGATAGATAGATAGACGGAAGGAAGGAAATAGCTTATAGAAGACTAACATCTTTTCAAACATAACATCTATAAGTGATGTATTAATGGGACTGTTTTAATTATCATAATTGTCTATATTTAATGAATGATTATATTCTAAAAAAAATTGCAAGCATATGCTCAGTTTGGACATTTTGACCTGACTGAGCCCAGTAAAACTAAACTGTAGATGTCGCTCACAACACATGCCGTTTAAAAAGACACGCCCAGAATATACTTGTCAACGAGAGACATTAGTCATCGGAAATCACCCGGCTGTGATGACGTACCTCAGAGGCTTCTTTCTCAAACTTCTCTATGGTTCTCTTATCGATGCCTCCACATTTGTAGATGAGATGTCCGGTGGTGGTGGACTTGCCAGAATCGACGTGGCCGATAACCACGATGTTAATATGAGTCTTTTCCTTACCCATGTTGTAAATTTACTGTGGAAAGACATTGCTGGTTTAGTTTAACCGGCATAAACATTATCCGGGCATTACACATTAGCGTTCAAGGAATTCTGGAAATAAATTCGCATATAAGCGATCAAACAGGATCAAGGGAGGCGGGGAAATCTCTGCGTCAGCGCGCAGCACCGGCGGTGCTGCCATGTCCGCCTGTTATAATTTATATATTATAATATAACGAGATTTATAAAGCCGCGGGTTGATATAGTCGAAAATTTTGGGGGGCTTGCAAGAGCTCGGTTCACATAGCATAAATTGATTTACCATTAGTCGCAGCTGTTGAAATTCTCACGTACTGTTTGAGACGAACAACTGTTTCCTTAATGCGTTTGTTTTCTGGGACTGAATTAGAAAACCCCTTATTTACGTTAAATGGCTCGTTTCCATTTTTTTCAGACCAGCTTCTTTTTGCAAGATCTGGTAACACCCCTCCCTCCGTTCACTTAGTGTCCTCCATGTTGAAGGACTGGAATGACAGCACCAGCCATGTTCTCTCCAGCTTTGCCAACAAGTTTGTGCTCTACAAGCGTGTCAGTGAAAACGAGGTAGTAGAGAAAATCAAAGAAACCTGGAAGTAAAATAAACCTGGTCTGAACCAGCTACCCTGAAGAAAAAAAAAAAAAAAAACCCTTGTGACTCTAAATGCATTTAAGGGCTTTTCCTTATAACAGCCAATGAACTTTTTAGGATTAAGACCGAGTAAGATGAGGCAGTAATAAACTTACCCGACTACAAGCACTACAGACAGCCCCGAGCAGACTGGAGAAAAAGGAACGAGTCACACTGCCGTCTAAATTTATACGGGTTCAGTCAGGGGTGGGATATGAAAAAACACCTAGACCACATAGATACTGCTCAGATGAGGGGTACCATTGGTAGCTTTACTGTGCACTCACTATTTGCGATTGGAGGAGAAGACATCAGTAAAGTGGGCACACTGTAGAAGAAACCCGGCTGCAACACGTGTTAAAACAGCTGCAAGGACCATGACGAATCATATTACAGTTGCTTATTCCAAATCCCACCCAGTTCCCCCATTGATGACAGGAGACAAAGCACAACTTCAATTTTTAATACCTTTATTAGTTTCTTATTCAGCAGCTTCTTTCCCAATTTTACTGTGGCATCAGGTGCAGTTCTAAAACCATTAACAAATTTAACAACTGAAAGAGGCACTATCAGTCAATAAATGGAGCCACACTTAAATCCAAGTTGGTTTCCTTTCCTGCGAAAACTTTTCCGATGAGTTTTAATCAGCATAAGCCAGTCCTTAAGTAGAGTGCCCAGGTTTAGAGAAATTCCAGGAGGTTGGGAAGAACATACCACAACCTTTGGAACCGCGTGATAAAGGGAAATTCATTTGGTCTTGCCAGCCTTCTGTGCAGACTTTGTGACCTTGCCAGCACCACCAACTTTCTTCTCAACGCTCTTGATGACACCAACAGCAACAGTCTGCCTCATGTCACGCACAGCAAAGCGACCTGTGGATGGAGAATGATTAGTACAGAAACCTACCGAAATTAAGGATATGGATGCAAGAGAGTCGATTAGTATGACATGAACTTACCAAGAGGGGGGTAGGTAGAGAAGCTCTCCACACACATGGGTTTGCCAGGGATCATCTCAACAATGGCAGCATCTCCAGATTTGAGAGCCTTGGGGTTGTCCTCAAGCTTCTTGCCAGAACGACGGTCGATCTTCTCCTTGAGCTCAGCAAACTTGCAGGCAATGTGAGCAGTGTGGCAGTCCAGCACTGGGGCATAGCCCTGAGAGATCTGACCAGGGTGGTTCAGGATGATGACCTAAAGACAAAAACAAATTAGTACACATTCACATAACCCTGGCATTCAAGTGACTTGGTGATCAAGCTGACAGGGAAAAAACCTAACCTGAGCATTGAAGCTGCCAGCCTCCTGAGGGGGGTCGTTCTTGCTGTCTCCAGCCACGTTACCACGACGGATGTCCTTGACAGACACGTTCTTCACGTTGAAGCCAACGTTGTCACCAGGAGTGGCCTCAGCAAGAGACTCGTGGTGCATCTCAACAGACTTGACCTCAGTGGTCAAGTTGGCAGGGGCAAAGGTCACAACCATACCAGGCTTGAGGACACCAGTCTCCACACGACCCACGGGCACAGTTCCAATACCTGAGAAGTTGAAGGTGTTAAACCAATTCAAGTGTTTGACTTTAGAACTTTAATAACTTCACATGTTATACACACACCTCCAATTTTGTAGACATCCTGAAGTGGCAGACGGAGGGGCTTGTCGGTGGGACGGCTGGGGGGCAAAATGGCATCCAGGGCATCAAGAAGAGTAACACCGCTAGCATTACCCTCCTTGCGCTCAACCTTCCATCCCTTGAACCAGCCCATCTAAAAACAGACAGACATTGTCAACCAAGATGTGACATGAAATGCACTGAGAGGAGTTCCACATACAGAATTTATTTCCCACCACCCCTGTGAAGTTGCATAGACAAACTCACGTTTTTGCTGGGCTCCAGCATGTTGTCACCATGCCATCCAGAAATTGGGACGAAGGCAACACTGGCAGGGTTGTAGCCGATCTTCTTGATGTAGGCGCTGACTTCCTTGGTGATTTCCTCAAAACGAGCCTGGCTGTAGGGGGGCTCGGTGGAGTCCATCTTGTTGACTCCAACAATAAGCTGTTTCACCCCCAGAGTGAAAGCCAGGAGGGCATGCTCACGGGTCTGTCCGTTCTTGGAGATACCAGCCTCGAACTCACCAACACCACCAGCAACAATCAGCACTGCACAGGCAGCCTGGGAAGAAAAAAAAAAAAAAAGCCATCAAGTTAAACCTCACCCTACTACATTACTCACAAAAACACAGTTCTGTGTGGGTGGAGCGTAGTCATACCTGAGAAGTACCAGTGATCATGTTCTTGATGAAATCTCTGTGCCCAGGAGCATCAATGATGGTGACATAGTACTTGCTGGTCTCGAATTTCCAGAGAGCAATGTCAATGGTGATACCACGCTCACGCTCAGCCTTCAGTTTGTCCAGCACCCAGGCATACTTGAAGGAGCCCTTGCCCATCTATTTTGCAAACAAATAAAGGGAGGCATTTAGTCATTTTGAACATTTTATATAAAACATTAAATTTAAGCTTTAAAAAAAAAAAAAAAAAAAAAAAAAAAAAAAAAATCACAAGTGGCTTTAAAATGTTAAATTACGAAAACAGAACTGCTTGAAACGTTGAATGGGACCAGCGCACATGTTGCGCGGCCTACTAGGCGCCATTACAGAATTTGCAACGTCATAGTGAAGCACCGCTTAAACCCCGCCCACTCCACACCCAGCCGGCTTGAGCCCAGGAACGCGTGCTACCGCCGCCATTTTGGCTCGTTACTCCCGAGTTGTGCCACAATTAAATTCACGAAAAATCCACTACAAGAGTTTAAAGTCTCACCTCAGCAGCTTCCTTCTCGAACTTCTCGATGGTCCTCTTGTCGATTCCACCGCATTTGTAGATCAAGTGGCCGGTGGTGGTGGACTTTCCGGAGTCGACGTGGCCAATAACCACGATGTTAATGTGGATCTTTTCCTTTCCCATGATTGGTTAGTTTCTGTATTAATAAGAGAAGAGTAAAATTGAATAAAGAGGCACGAGTGAAATACGGACTTTCCATTAAAACTTTTGAGCGGGTATTTCGTAACAGGTAATAGATAGCCCCGAGTTTGAACCGGCCTAGTTCACCATAAGGCAACTGCGACACGTGTTTCTTTAGAGTAACGCGGTATTAAGTTACAGGGGAAAAATCCAAAGTGTCTGAAAGGAATCCATGAGGATGCGAACAGCTGGCTCTCCAGTCACTGATAACAGTTGGATGCGAGAATGTGCGGAAGGCTTTTAACAGGCCCGCGACTTGAAGCCTCTTGGTGCCTTTGTTCTTTTCCCGGTTCGCATTCTTTGAGATGGACGTACACGGAAAGAACGGAAAAAATAAACTAACCCCATCTCTTCTAAATACATTACTAATTAAAAAGAAACCACTATTACGAACACAATCAGAAAGAAAACCATTGTAGAAACCAAAAGTGATAAGACCACGGAGTAACGAAACGCCGAAAATTTCAAAATACAGTCAACCTGAAGAAAATCCTTCAAAAGTTCTTAAAAGGTAAATAATGAGCGTAAAAAACCAAGGCCTAGCCAACAGAGAAAGCACTCACCAAGATTGAGAGCTCACTCCTCAGCTGCTGCTCCCCTTTGCCAGGTAACAGAAAGAGGAAGAAAATCGGTTTGGTTGGAGAATTTATACATGGGAGGAGGACCGACTGGGCTGCAACCCCCCGCTTCCTCACCCTCCCTGATCGACCCGCAAATCACACACAATCGAGTGAAATTCTCCCCGCCTCGACAAACTGCGTCACTACTTTGTTTCACTGAGCATCTGGTTGACTGTATGAAATAATATTTTTACAAATATTTGAGATATGTTGCGATAAACATAATGGGAAAATATATGTCTGAATACATACCACATATAACCAGCTAACAAATCTACAAAATAGCATAAATAAAGAATTATTTTTTACGTAACTGTTCATGTATTCTACAAATTTTTCTTTTTAAAGTCTTTCCATTTTAAATGTAAATTGTCACAAGATGCTTATCACACGTTTATATTTTTGGTCTTCTTATGATAAATGAGGACAATCATCACTATAAAACTGAAACTGCATTTTGTAGCCTATCACTGATTGAATTTGGTTTAAATTCAATCACTTCATCACATTTACTTCTTAAACTAGTTCACATTTAATTCTCTGGTTTTGGTCAAAGTAGCTGTGAAGTTTCATTTTATGCAACACAGGTAGTTTACTGTGTGTACAATACTATGCATAGCCAGAGAAATTCTTTCTCATCTTTGTGCTTATTCTCACAATAATGACATCTTTGTTCACATGCACAACAGTCACAACAGTTTTAGAAGAATGTTAAGAAATCAGAATTGTATTTTATTTTATGAAACAACCAGTCTTTTACCCCGGAGACAGTGTGATCAGCCCAGTCTTTTTTTTACAGTCTATGGATCAGCCCAGTCTGTATGCAAATTAGTTATCAATTTACTACCAGCACAAAGTTGATAAGGGCACTCAGGTCTGTTGTCTCAGATGCATCTCCACCCATTGGTTCATCTATTCCGATTCAAATGCAATCAGATAGGACTATTTGCTGAACAGTGAGATTCAAACTATCCTATTTTGAAACATAAGCCCAGGGGAGGCAGTGAAACTTTCGTAATTTCCCTTAGTTTGTATGCATTTCATGCATTCAGAGTTTTGTTTTTAGAGTGTGGGAAATCTTTAATTCCTCTCAGTGCCTTACAGGCCTTCAATGCTATCTTCAATGCCTTACATTCCTCATAGCCTTATTTGAAAGAGCTGGCATCTCCCCCTGCACCTCCGATCAACTCTCTCTTCCTCTAGGTAACAGATGCTTGGTCGACAGCTGCTATTTTCAGTCAAGAGCAGCAGCACAGACACACATTCAGATGACATATACTGTGACAATCAGAGCAGCATGCAGTGGGGTCTAAAAGTCAGGGACCTCATTAAAATGTGAAGGAAAAAAACCTTAAACCTGGTTATAAATTAAGTTTTATGGTTTTAAAACATCCTAGCATGGACAAAATAATTTTTAGAACAACCATTGAAGATTCTGCATCTATTTCAGATTCTTTGTTACATTCATAATGAAAACTCCTTTGTAGAGATAGTTATGTTTTCGCTTCCACTGAAGCACAATTTGCTCTTCAGCTCATTCT